TGGTTTCCCCATGGTGCGTTCACCTCGACACGACCAGGCTCCAATGTTCGCCGCCCCGCAGGAATGTGAGTCTCCTTCCACCAAACCGACTCTGTGGCCTCTGGTCTGTTTATCTATAATTGCAAACAGGCTGAAGCTGCAGACAGAGTCGCTGCAGAGCTTCTGTCATGGATGAAAACTCATCTTACCCACCTCCTCTGAATCATTTCCTCCCTTCCCCAAATCCTCATGCTGCTGCACTTTTCGCTCATCGGTCAAATACATTTGAACTTCTCCTCTGCCTTTTTTTCTCTCTTTGTATTTTTAACTTCTCTTTGATTCCTGAAAAATTGTCCAGACAATGTTTCTCTGACCTTTGACCTCCTTTGGTTCTCTGGGACTTTGCTGATCTCGGCACAAAAGAGTATTTCGTCAATCGGACGATTCCAAACAAGAAAAAAGAACCACATCAGACGCCTTCCTCAACCAGTAAATAAACTGTCTTCTTCCTGACTGACATTTAGAGACAATAAAACCGTAAGTGACATCAAGACAAATCTTCACAGACGTGAATTGAAACCAGAGCTTCATGAGTGTAAATCAGGCCAATAGAAGAAGAATCACAGGGGAAAAATAAGAAACCATTGGGACGGCGTTTGGATTTAAGTGGTCAGATGTAAGTTGTTAGAATCAAAGCTGTGAATTCCAACTCAATTCCTGTTTCAATAAAACACCACGTCACCACTTTACATGGAAACTCTCATGTCTCAATGATGAAAATGAGGTTTGGGAGAAAAATGTTGGATTAACATCTGTCCTGCATATTATTGTTGCTTACCAAAACTCCCGCCCTGTGATTCCCTGGGAACTTTTTCTTTCGTTAATTATTTGTCGAAACTCTTCATCATTGTGGCATAACAATTCCTGAACCCCCCCCCCCAAATAAATAACATGGACCACATGATGTTTTACATAACACTACACAAGTGAGTAGAAAAATTATTTCCTGGCAGTTGTTGCTCATTTTCTCACACGTTTGAATAATTTCATCTTTTCATCTCCTCTCGGCCAAAGGTTCAGTTTATGAACAGGAGTCAGAAGCAGCAGGGGTTTATTAAATCTCCATTAAAGTTTCCATGATGTTTCCGCTCATTACTAAAAAAAATATGTTCCCGTGCACATGGAAAGAAAGAAAAATAAAGCATACTCTGCAGTGTCGGAATACGAATTAAAATTTTAACTTCCCCACTAAGAACTTAACATAAAGTCAAAGGTTTTTGTAACCCCAGATAATCATATAATCAATTCTTCCATTAAAAACCATAAATTATGGTAGATCGTTATTTTCTGTTATTTCAAGTGATTTAGATTAAACAGAAAGTTTTGAGACAGATTCTCATCAAACTCTGTAATATTGATTATTAGAACAGCCTTTGTTATTTTAGTACTGGACTCACTAAAGACTGTGAACGTCTGTGCCAAATTTCATGGTTATCCATCCTGTAGTTGTTGAGATCTGGATTGAACCTTGTGGAACACCATAGATTTCTTTACTATCGGAAACAACAAGTTTGAACTTCTCTTACTCTAAAGAAAACCAGTTCAATTTCATGTCACTCTGTTCAAACTACGATTTTATGTTTTAATTAATTAAGAATCACTCAAATACGAGAGAAAGTAATTATAGAAACAACATTCATCAAAATATCGAGGTACATTTATTAAATCTGAAAGCTGCTTGTCAGTTTCTTCTCAGGATGTTTTCAGGCAACGATTTTAAGTCTGTTCTCCACATGAAGCCTTTATCTGGAACCACATGTGCATTTTATTTTTATCACTGTTGATTCTTTTTAAGGGAGAACCACTTTAGTTTTAAGGTTCTCTGTCGTGTTACTGCTTTTTGTACATCTGCGAAAAACTGTTCAAACTTAAAACTCATTTTATAAACCACACATGATTAAATCCATAGAATGAGAAAATGTTGTAATCAGAGATTTTAGACGACTAAAAACGTAAATCATGAGAAATTGTGAAGAAAACCACTGAACACAAACAGTGAGCCTGTGTGATTTTGTAGATAATTATTAACGAGATTAAAGATATTTATATGAACGCGGCTTCTGTTTTAAATGGATTCTGTGTGTCTGTGTGCGTCTGTTGTTAACTTGTAAAATCTCTTTGACGCAGGAAGCAGAGCAGCAAGAGGCGTCGACACAGCCGTCCAACATTTGTTTCAACAATTTGTTGTTAAAGGTGGATTTTACATGAAACCTTTTCCCGGAATATCTACGTCTGTAATATTTTATGTTTTGTCGTCAAAGTGAGCACAGAATCTAAAGTCAGCCATAACAGACGACATTTTAGATCATGCACTTAATATTATCTTTGCAATCTTACAATGTTTCCACTGTAAAATGGGAAAGAACAAAAAACAGACTTTTATCATATATAAACAATTTCTACGACAAAGCGGACCAGCTGTAATTTTTACTTTCAATCTGAAAATCTTGTCATTTAAGATCTTAAAAAGTTTAAAAATGTTAAATATGACCAAACATTTTTTTTCAAAGAGACGTTCCGTTGTCTTTGATAATTAATTTCAACAAAGGACAGTGACACAGTGAAGCTCGGTTAGTTTGAATAAGACAGAGTTAAAAGTTTCTCACTTTAAAAAGATGAGTTTGTTTCTATTTTCTGAATCAACCGAGTAAAAATCTAAACCAAAGATCTGGATTAGAGGGAAGATGGGTTGAATGAACTGGTTCTTGCTATTTGATTAGTATTCATCACATGCAGACAGCATGGGAACCTGTGTGTGTGTGTGTGTGTGTGTGT